ATATATTCTAATATACAAGAATACATTTTAATGTATTTAGAATGAAATATAACTTAAATCTAATATTATTTTTATATTTTTTCAATCATACAACAAGTATTTGATGCCATCATTACAAGTATTTCATATTTTGCTTCTATCACTAGTTTGCAAGAGACGTATTTTGGCACGTGACACATTTGCTTCTATCATGAGTCTACAGATTTGTCTTAAATATAACATGTCATATTATATAGCACTTTAAATTTTTGTATTATGGCTTTAAATTGCTTTAAGTATTTATAATTGTTGATTTTTGAGAGCATAAATAAATCTAAATATTTGAAATTCAATAATCATAAATACACTTTTAAAGCATACACGTAAATTACAGAATATATCATATCAAGATTTTAAAACAAGTCTCAGATTTATGATAGAAGCAAAAGACAAAATAATTAAAAAATAATAATTGCATCAAGCACTTATTATTAGTTGATAAATAAAGTTAAAACTAAATTTAAATTATATTAAAATAAATTATATTAAATTATATTTAAATTATTATTAATTTAAATTATATTTATGCGTAAATTTAAATATACTGAAATATTATAATTTTAAATATACTGAAATCTTTTCTTTGTATATCAGAATATATTTATCGTCTTGTATAAATACATATATATAATATTTCATATTGTATAATAATATTATACAATTTTATATTTTATATCATTTGTACATTATATGTAAAAATATATTGATCTTAAATACTTTAATATAAATTGATAACTAATACTTTATGATAATAAGATATTTTTATATACCTTTATAACTGCAAGCAATTTGTAACGAGTGTACAATAGATAATAAAATAGGAGGACCAGGCAATGAAAAAGCAAATTCCAAATTTCTTTTTAGATTGTAATAGTCTTTCTTATTAATTTCGAAAATAAATATCATAGAAAAAATTACAATAGCTATTACCAAAATAATATCTGTAAAAATATTAGATATTTTAACTAATTACGTTTCTTTTTATATAAAAATAAATTAATAACAAATAAATTATTTCTACATGTGTGTGTGTGTGTGTGTGTGTGTGTGTGTGTGTGTGTGTGTGTGTGTGTGTGTGTGTGTGTGTGTGTT